TGTTGTTATTGTTGTGTGCCGTTGAGTCGGCCCCGACTCATAGCGACCCCTCCTTGGGTTTCCGAGGCAGTATCACTACAGAAGTAGGATCGCCCAACCTTCCTTCCAAGGAGTGGCTGGTGGGTTTGAACCACCAGCCTTCTGGTTAGCAGTCAAGTGCCTTAGGCACTATGCTACCAGAGCTCCTTGAACTCCAACTAGATGTTGTATTTTTTTAAAAGCCCACAAAGATGCAGAACTAATTTAAATGTCTGAGCAAGAAGAAAACGACCCAACAGCAAGAGGTGCTACTCCTGGAGCCACCAGAAGGTGGCAGTGCAAGGACTGACCCAAGAGTGAGCTCCTCTAAGGAGCCACCACCGGCCTCCAGGACACACTTGTTCCACGCCCCCTGGGGGAAGAGGCCTCATGTTTACTGTGCACCTCGGCCAGCGCCGAGCCCAAACTCCACGGAGGGCTTGATCCATCCCTTGGAGGGCTCGGATGGTTCCCATTCTCCAGAAGAGGAAGCAGAGGCACAGAGCGAGGAAGCCACTCGCTCAGGGTCAGTCCGACGCTTTCCCTGCAGCCCCCTGCTTCAGGCCATGGCGTTGCCCAGCTCGGGGGAGTTGGGTGCCCACTGGAGCCTAGTAGATGGCGCCCCCTAGGGACTGGGGCCATGCCGTGGTACCACCTGCAGCGACACAATCCACCCTTGCGGCCCCACCCACCAGCTCACCTCAGCCTGAGCAGGGACACAGCCAGTGAGGGCAGGGCCTCGGCAAGCTTGCAGGCACCCACATCAGTGATGTTGTTCTGGGACAGGCTGCAGGGACACAGCAGGGGAGGGGTCAGGACCAACCCTGGATCCCCGCCCCCTCGGGGATCCAGCTCCTGGGTGTGGGCGAAGCCTGCTGTGTGCAGAGCCCGGGAGCGCTCCCTTTCTGCCACTCAGGGGCCATCGTGTCAAAGGCATCAGCCTTTGTGAGAGTCGTCGGTAACAGAACAGGAACGGGGCTGGGGCTGACTCCTGGGGAGCAGGGGGTGGGAGATGCCAGAGGAGGGTGCACAGAGGCAGAGAGAGCTCCCTTCTCCCCCAATTTATGATTTCACAGTGCTTTGGCCCACTTCCCACGTAGTTACTGAATAAGTGGCTGTGGTATTTGGATGACTCCTCTCTCCCTCTGGTAGCATAGTGGCTAAGACACTTGCCTGCTCACCAGAAGGCTGGCGGTTCAAACCCACCAGCCACTCCTCGGAAGGAAGGTTGGGCAATCCTACTTCCGTAGTGATACTGCCTCGGAAACCCAAGGAGGGGTCGCTATGAGTCAGGGCTGACTCGACGGCACATAACAACAACAACAACAACCTCTCTCCCTGCTGGCCAATAGGCTCCATGAGGAGAGGGGTTGAGTATGTTCTGTTCATTACTGTATCCCTGTGCCTAGAGCTATGTGGGCATGTAGTGGGGCTCAATGAATGCTTTGTTGTTGGTGGTGGTAGTGATGGTGTTGGTGGGTATTGGTGGCAATGGTGATAGTGTTGGTGTGGGGATATTGTCAGTGGTGGTGGTGGTGGTGGTGGTAGCTATTAAGTCAGCTCTGACTCATAGTGATCTACATATGTAGTTGTTGTTGGGTGCCACAGAGTTGATTTTGACTCATGGTAACCCTAAGTGACAGTGGTCTTTACAGGAGCAGCTCAACAGATCTTTTCTTCTAAAGAGCTGCTGGTGGGTGGGTGGCTTTGAACTACTGACCTTTTGTGGTTAGCAGCTGAGTGCTTAACCGTTATACCACCAGTGTTCCTTAACCCCATGTGTAACAGAATGAAATGTCCCCGTACCCTGGGGAAAGCAAAGTAAGAACAGGTGGGGGGGGAGGGAGGGAGGGAGGTCCAGTGTGTTCACAGCGTTACCCAGAATAGTATAAAACACTGGGGCCGCTCAGTGTCCTAAATCAAGGGACTACTCAATGAGTGGGGGGCATCCCGACATGGTGCCAGAGGGAAGCGTGGTCAGATTTTGCTAGTACCCTTTAGGTTCAATGAAATATCCCATTGGGCCTCCTTTATCTTATTCATCTCTGACTTCTCAAAGTGCAACACGTTTTAAAACATCAAAAAGTGCTGCTTTGACAAGAGGGCTTGGCTGCCGCCTCCCCACCCATTGTCCCCATTTCATCCCGCATGTCACTCTGTCACTAAACACTGTTTATCTTTATTACTGGATTACTTCATAATTTGGATTCATTCATTTCTTTGCATGTTGATCGTGTCTCCTCACTAAAATTTAAGATCCCTGAAGTCAGGGGTTTTGTTTTGTCCAAAGCTGGGTCTCTAGGGCCCAGAATGGCATCTGCACACAGCAGGTGCTAGGTAGAGATTTGTTGATTAGACGGATAAATGATTGGATGTGAGTCATTGGATCACTGAATCACTGTTGTTGTTGTTGTTATGTGCCATCGAGTCAGACCCGACTCACAGCGACTCTCCTTGGGTTTCTGAGGTTTTCCATAGTGATACTTCACTATGGAAGTAGATTGCCCAACCTTCCTTCTGAGGAGTGGCTGGTGGGTTTGAACTGCCAGCTTTCTGGTTAGCAGTCAGATGCCTTAGGCACTACACCACCAAAGCTCCCCTGAATCACTGATTCATTAAATAAATAAATGGACTGAATGAGTGGCTAGATGAGTGAATGGATGAGAATGAATGAGTGAATGACTGACTGATTAGAAGAATCATTGATTGAGTGGATGAATGAGTGAATAGTAAGTGAATGAACAAATTAAAAAGCTAGCTGGGCTTTGGGGCCAGGTGTGGTGGGAAGGGCAGCCCGGTCCACTCACTTGAGCGTTTCCAGAGCCTTCAGCTGAGGGAAGGTGGCCGAGAGCTGGGCAACCCCTTTGTCCCCAATCTTGTTCTCACTCAGCGAGTCCAGGCTGCAAGTGGAATCAGAGAAGGGCCATCAGCCAGTGTCCAGGAGGCCACCTGACTCCTCCCCTCTCCTGCCCTGACACTGGACGCCTCCATCCCCCCAGCCCTGGTTACACAGAAGGCCACCCATCAGGGAGCTGGAGACAAGCTCCTGTGGCCTTGGCTCCCTGATTTGTTCTTAGGAGGCCACGAACTTGAGCAACTTCCTGAACCTCTTAGAGCCTCACTTTCCTCAGCTGCAAAGGGGTCCATGCCCCCACCCTGCCTTCCTGATGAGGTTGCCGGGGGCAACAAAGGAGGCCACATAGGGAAGCAATCCAAGTGGCTTTGTTAACTGGGGCTTCCCATTTGTCCCTTCCTGGCAGTGCAGTCGTAGGATGACTCCTGCCACACGGGGAAGCAGCAGGGGAAAGAGAAAGGAGGAGAGAAGGGCCTTCTCGCTGTGTGGTCTCGGGGCAGGGGTGGGGGTGTCAGAGCCCGAGGTCAGGCCAAGGGGGAGGGCTGATCCAGGGTCTGTACTCACTCCAGGTGCTGCAGGGAGGAAAAGGCCACAAGGATCGTCACCAGTTTGGGGAAAGCCTGGGGGCCCGAGACAGGGCCCAGCCTAGGAAACAGAGAGCAGGGTTGAGACCCCCAAGCAGTGGCACGTCAGCCCCAGGGTGGGCGAAGACCATGACCCAAAAGCTAGGCGGTCCCTCAAGTCTGCTCCAGGGTGGGCAGGGAGCATGACACAGAGGCCTGGTCTGAGGTCCCCTCCCTTGCCTTGTCTCCTCAGGCTGTAGCCTCCACACACAAACTGCTGCCCGCTGGGGCCCCTGGCCCTTCTGTTCAGGGCAGATTTCACAAAACCTCCCAAGTGGCCAGTTGGACTCCCAGCTGGGGGGCTCCCTGGCTTTCACCTCTAAGAGGGAACCCAGTTCAACAGACACAAGCACCCTTCTCCCGCCCCAGCCTGGTGAGGTGGTCTCAAATGTCTGCCTGACGACTGACACTGGCCTTGGAGAAGACTTATTTATTTTTGCATTTTAATACCAAACAGATCTAGGTCCTTCACTGGGATTACTGCTGCTTCTGACTCACAGCGGTCCTGTAGGACAGAATAGAACTGCTTCCTAGTGTTTCCAAGGCTGTAATCTTTATGGGAGCAGACTGCTGGTCCTTTCTCCTGCAGAGCCACTGGGTAGGTTTGAACTGCTAACCTTTCCCTTAGCAGCTGAGTGCTCAACCATTTTGTGCCACCAGGACCCCTCATTCAATCCTCAGGACGACTCTCTGAGCTCAGGACTCTTTTCCCCATGTTACAGATGAGGAAGCTGAGGCCAAGAGAGGTCAATTAACTAACTACAAGGTCACACAGCCTGAATCAATGTTTTGACCAGACCTGAAGGGAATGACAGAAAAATAACAATCGAGGACAGCTTTAGTTTGCTTTTTAAAATATGGCTAATGTATTCAACTACAGGGCTCTCTGTTATTCTCAACTATGTCCTTCATAATTTTTGATATTTTCTTTGATAAAATTACAGTGCCAGGAGCAGTTATTTTGTTGTTATTTGTTTTAACAAACATACTTGATGAAAATTAAAAGTAGGCAGCCGCACATGGTCACTCAAATTCATTCTGGAATGTTCTGTCTCTGAAACCCCAAAGCCTGGCAATGCTAGCCTCAGTGGGAAGACTGAAGGAAGGAGTCGGGAGTCAGATTTGAGTCTCGGCTCTCCCATAGGTGTTCCATGGGGCCAGAAGCAAGTTAACCCTAACCCTAACCCTTCACCTCTGGGTCTCAGCCTCCCTAAAGATTTAGCCCACTCTTCTGAGGTGGTGGAAGGTTAAGAAATCCCCACACCCAGGGGAGACGGTCACGAGCAGGACAGAGATCCCCCAAGCAGCTGACATTCCAGTGGGGAAGACAGTCATCAGAGAGATGGGTAGGATAACGAGCAAACGACATGAAGAACGAGCAAACAACAGGAAGCAGGACAGGTGCACTTTCAAATACGCGGTCACAACAGTCCTCACGGAGAAGATGACATCTGAGCAGAGGCCAGAAGGAGGTGAGGGCCGCACAGATGTCTGGAAAGTGTTGCAGGCAGAGGCCCAGCGGGTGCAAAGGCCCAGCGGCAGGATTGTGCCTGGTGTCAACCAGCAAGGAGGGCCCTGGGGCCGGGGTGGGGTGGGCCTGTGGAGGCCAGGAGCTAAGGTTGAGGAGGTGAATGGGGGTGATTCCAGGAAGGGTCCTGTATACAAGGGGAGCCACAGCAGGCCATTAAGCAGCCGAGCGGTGTAATCTGGTGGGTAGGATGAGGCTACGGGTCCCCGGCGCAGTGGCTGCCAGAGACGCCAAAATAGCCATTTCCTTCCTTCCTTCCTTCCTCGGAACCTGTGGGGGCTTCCTGCCTCCAGGTGGCTCTGGGCTGTTCCGCCCACAGCTGCTGCTCCCCAGAGCGCAGTTCCGACCTTGAACTAGGGGCTTTTTACCCCAAGAATCATTTACAGCCAGAAGATGGGAGGGTTTTCACATGTTTCCTCTTTTAGCGACATTTTTACTTTTACACAAACAAGGTGCCTTGTCTCTCTTCAAAACAGGAGATGTCTGGTTTCTCTGGGGCTTCGGGGACAGGGGCAGTAACAGTTCGTGGGCGCCCAGCTGGGTGACCTTGGGTCATTTAACGTCACCAAGCCTCAGCTTCTCCATCTGTAACATGGGTAAGATAATGATGGCCTCCCAGAGCAGATCTTGAGATTAATGCAATTATATATAAATACCTCAGTGTGTGTGTGTGTGTGTGTGTGTGTGTGTGCAGTGAGACCTGAGAGCCGCAGCTCATGGGGACTGCCTTGCTTTTCCAGGTCTCAAAAGTTTGCTATCTTAACACTTTTCTGTCGCCCGTTTTAGTGGAAAATATTCGTGTTTTCTTTCTCTGACAGGTTTCTGCCTTCCACAGGTTCCAGCTTTCGCAGGTTTTGCTGTACATACATGTGTAGTCTAGGTACGCATGTATGTATGTTTTGTACATACAAAGCGGCTGTGTGCACAAAGGCATGTATCATTAGATGACCTCCCAGTCCAACGCTAATGTAGGACCAAACACTAACTTAGCATTTTCCTGTGTTGGGGCTCAGTTGCCCTGACTTTTCTGCTTTGAATGAATGACTTAAATGCTCCAGGCTTGAGTGGCAATATCTGTACAATGGGGACATGAGGCCAATGCCCCAGAACAGGATCCTGAGAGATGACAGTAGGGGTGTGAGTGCTTGGTGAGTAAGAGGCCTTGTTCAGGCCGCAGATGATGATGAGTGTAGTCCCTCCTGGGCCCTGGGCCCTGGACGGCCCCTCGACAATGATTCAGGAGCAGCTGAGCTGTCAAGGGCCCACTGTGGCTCTGTTTCTGCCACCTGGCTGCACTAGGGTGACCAACCGTCCTCCTTTACCTGGGGCTGAGGGGTTTCCTGTGTTGTGGGACTTTCAGTACTAAAATCACGATGGTCCCAAGCACGCTGTGGCGCTTGGCCACTCGAGCTGCACATTAAAATCTCATGGGAATGCTTCAGACCTGGGGGAGGGGAGGGTTCCTTGGCCTGAGTTCCGGGCAGTCTGTTATGTTCAAAAAACACTGATGAGTCTGATGTGTGACCAGAGTTGAGAACAAGGCCTGGGGTGGGACTGACATCTGGGGTTTGCAGGGTGGAGGAGCCCTGGTCACACAGTGGTTAAGTGCTTGGCTGCTAACCAAAGGTTGGCAGTTCAAACCCCTCAGCCCCTCTGTGGGAGAAAGATGAGCCAATCTGCTCTTATAGAGATTGCAGCCTTGGGAACCCCGCACAGCAGTTTTGTCTGTCATATAAGGTTGCTCTGAATCAAACTCATCTTGACAGCAGTAGGTAGTAGGTTGGTCAGGGCTGTTGGGCTCTTCTGTGGAGGCCAACTCTTGGCCTTCCATGACCATTCCAGCCCTTTTTGCTTCCTCCCATCTCTCAATTCTCACTGGTTTCCTTTCCCTTTTTGCTTTGGCTACCAGGAAGCTCAGGGCTATATTCTTGGTTGAACCACTGTGACTGCGTAGGACCTTACAGCTTGGATAAAACATGCATGGAAATGAGCAAGCTCAGACATAGAGGGTGTGGTGCAATCTGTGACCAGACCAGGGAAAAAGACTCAAATACTGGGCATGCCATATCTTCCTAAAGACACAGGGCAGGGGTCACACTGATTGGGACCCTCTACCCCTGGAAAGTCTTTCCCCTTCTTTCCCCGATGGCTCCTTGCCTGGGTTACTCCAGCTTGCTTGCCAAACTTCAGTGCAGATACCACCTCCTCCAGAAAGTCCCCCTGACCTCCCCAAGTCTGAGCTCTAAAGCCCTCCTGTGTCCTGCCACTCGTCACAGCAGGTGGTAACTGTCTAGTTACACTAGACTGGAAGCCCCCGGAGAACAGGGGCCTTGGTGCACTAAGTGTCTAACGAGGGACTAGATACGCAGTTGTGCATGTTAACCAGCAAAGAGGCCAGGCAGCTCCCACCTGAGAACCTCCAGCACCGGCTGAGCCCAGCTACGCCCCAGAGCAGTGGGGACAGAGGGCGATAGTGATCCTGTGGCCCCATCCCCCTGTGGCAGCTCAAGCTGAGATAACACTGAAGAAAAGCCACCCCTTCGCTTACGCCAACTCCAGCTTCTTTAGGTCCCGGACAGCAGGCAGCTCCTTGGCACCATCGTCTGAAGGACTTCTTGTCCTAGAGAGGAAGGGAAGAGGTACTGTCAGGG